TGAGACATATTCATCTACATATTTCCTAGAAGTACTTGACTAATCACATTCTCAGTCACAGTGAGACTAAGTAAAAGAAAAGTAATTTTCCCTCAGAAGACCTAATTTCTCAGAACTGAATGAAACTTTGGAATTATGTATTTCTTCAGCAGTGGTTCTTAAACTACAAACTATACTTCATGGATAGTTTCCAGGCAAAAAATACATTAAAATGGGATTAACTGTACTTAGTAGTCATTAGGCAGAAACTAACTTTTTTAAAAAGTTCAGTTTTATCAGAATCAGAATTAAGGTTAAATATTAAAGACATCAGAGTATGCTAAGATATAGAAAACTTCAGAGTGATGCTATGCATTAACTGTCTGATTATGGCCAAGGCATTTTAGTGTTGGCAGGTTTAGATTAGATAAACTGATTGTAAACAAATGGTTCAATTTCTCTCCTCTCCCTAAAGGGTGAACTGGAACTGTTCAATAAATAGCATTTAAACAGCACCGTTAACTACTATACCAGTGTCTCTTACTAAAGTTCCCTTCATGGTCCAGACTTAAAGACAGCATCAATTCTACACAATTAACTTGCCAAAGCAATGATTAACTCTTTTTCTCTTTAAAACAAATCTTTGTACTAAAACATACTGGCCTGAGGTGGAGAATGGACAATGATATGGGAAGAGCATGAGGTACAAGAGGGCAAAATCTCTTTCTAGCCAGACCCCCAGCAATAGTAGGGAGATTCTCAACATTCCAAAAAGTAGTGATTCCTTCTTGGCCCTGGAGTTGGAAAGTTAAAAAAACCCATGTTTTTTAGCACTGAAAGAGCCATTAAATAACCTTCAAAAATTCCTAACTTGTATTGGTTGTATCACACCTCTTTCAGAAACTTTCACATCTGAATTCATACAACTAATTACATTTGACTATACTGAGAGTATGAATTAAAAAATGTAAATGAAAAATGAAAAAAACATCTAAGATACTCTTGAAATTCAGTAAAAGATACTTAACACATGCTGTAAATCATCTGATAAACATAGAATCACAGAAATGCTTTCAGAAAGGCTTAGTTTGGTCCATTCTGCATATACTATTCATAAGGGGTTATCAGACTTTTCACCCCTATAGGTTTTGTATCTTCTCCATCCTGCAACTGTTTACAAGTCTTCTGTGAATGACAAGACTCTAGATGGTATATGTGGAAGGTACAGTAGTTTACCATATTTAAAATGCACAGGAATGTTATACATGTCTGGTGAAATCTTAAAGCCACTGAAACAGATAACAAACATTTCCATGGATAACAGTAAAATCAAAATATGGGGGATGTTACAATTTTGTTTCCGGAAATCACTTAGGGACTTTGGTACAGTGCAGACTCACCGGTAAAAGTAAGTTTGCATTAAAAATGCATCATTTTAAAAGCAAGCATTTCTTTTCTCTATAGCAAACCTGTTGACTTCTAATTTAATTCAGTGCTTCCCTGATTTTGAATAATAAACAAGTCTATCACCAAAGAATTTGTAGGGTTAGAAAAAAGCATGTACTGAGGTAATATGGTTTACAGGATTTTGCAGTATTTGACCAGTTTTTATTTCTAGCTCCACTCAACGCAGAATGTGACTTATTAAGGTCAATAAGGTTTTATACGGTCATGAGAAATGCAACACTGATGGTTTAGAGGCTGTGTACCAGGTGTACTAACAGTGACTTTATGCAAATATGCACTAGGAGACTGAAAAAGCAGAACCAACCTCCCTGGGATCACTGTTACTGTAATAGCACTAGTATTGCCATAAGCGTATGATCTGAGTAACATCATCTGGCTACTATGCAGTAGGTAGTGCTTATAGGAAAAGTGTATCCTGCATCCTAATGCAGTACAAAGAACTTTACTGCAGAACATAAATGGGCAGAGAAAAAGAAAAAAGACAATCCTTACATGAAACTTGTACAATACTTCTCAACACATTCCTATGTGTTTATGAGGCACTTTGAGCCTGATAGCATTTAGTAGCATTAGACTCTCAAGTCCCTTATCTTTCAACCCATAGTACAGTACATGCCACATTACATAAAAGGTGTATCCAGCTGGGGGATATGTGGTGAGGACACACCTGCACACCATATCATGTCATGTGAAGTTACAGGGGCCTGGGCACTCGGATATAGCAAGGAATGTCCTATGTAGTAAGACTTCTAGTGCAGGTCCCTGGTAGAAAGCACACCTCCCTTAGCAACTGTGCACAGGCACTGTGTGGCCCCACGAGCTGGGCACACCTGGTTGCCTGATCAGGTTAACAACCTGTGTCTGAAACCTGGAATTCCAGCCTGAGAAAGGGGCCGTGCTGCTTCACAGCGAACACGTAAGACAGACACACGATGGCACGGGGTGCAAGACAAGGCCAATGGAGACGAAGTGCCTACAACTTGACAGGTCTACAGTGTTTACAGGGGCTGCAGATTACATTTTCCTCCGTTAAGTAAAAGAATATGTATATTTATATACATAAACCAGATGGCATACTTGGCTGAAGAAACATTGTGTGAATGAGTTACAATTAAGTCCTCTCCTCACCATCTGTTTTTTAACCCCATAAACTAACTTCCAGGTTTGCAACACTGAAATAATCTGTTCTACATGAAAACAGAAGACAGTAAAGAGTAACATTAGACGGAGTTTTATCTTTTGTTTACCTCCCACCTGATAAACCCTGAATGGTTCTGTTCCCTGCCTTTGATTGTTTTGTCCTCATATTTCCTGCTAAGAGTTTACAAAACAGCATTATTGAACAGGCAGATAAGAAGCACACCTATTTGTTTAATAACATCAAGGGAGAAAAAGTGCTGGCTCATCCATTTTGTTGTTAAGTTGCTCAAAAGGATCAAAATACCAATTAACTTGCTGGCTTAGAAAATCTTTGATATCCTCACATTTACTGACATTTTGAAACTCTTGTTCATACTTGCCTAATGTCTTTTTGATTATGAACAAAGAAGTGCCAATCTGTTTAGCATTTGACCTGTTTTCTCAAACATTTTTATGTATTCAACTACTTAGTTCCTAAAAACACTTGACTAGTCATGGCTGTAAGTTGAAGAAAAATGTTTATTGTTCCATTGATGATAACTTCTTTAGCATTTTTGTTATTTTTTTTTCCCCAAGAGCAAAACAGAATAGAATTTGTTTAAAAATAAAGCGTAAACTGAACAAAGGAGCAAGAACATCCCTCTCCTACCCCCCTGTTTATATTCTGAACTCAGGAAGTCTTCTATGCTGTTGGGCAAATTCCTAAATCTCCCCCCACTTCCCTTGTTGTGTTGACTTTCTTTCCTGAAATAATTTTATCAAGTTGGACTAAAAACTTGGGGACTATCTGACAAGATGTTAAAACACAACTTTCCCCTTATCGGCAGGAATGGAAAGCTACAGTCAGCACTGCTTTTATTACCATTACTTTTCAAGATTGTACTCAAATTCAGTGCACTTCTGAATGAAAATAATCCACTGATAAGAGGAGGCCTAATTTCCTCTCAATTTACACTAATTTCAGTGGAGTTAATCTTAGTTCACTTATGTGTAAATTGGATAAAAGTTAAGGTTAATAATTCTGCCTTCAGCCTCTTCAGGATGTTGCAAAAATGCGTTAGTGATCACAAAAATTAGTCTCTTTGTCAAACCTGCTTTAGAATGGTGCGACCTTACTAAAATTAGTCATGTAACACACAAAAAAAAGGTGGGGGGAAATCATGTCTGAAAATTAAATTGCTTTGATGGACAAATGAACACATTAGTTATCCTTCCTGGGATACATCTCTAGTGTTTTCCTATCACATATTCATTTGGCATACTAATATATTACAAATAAGAAAATATAATATTTTTTCAGAATTAATTGATCGAGCTATGGTTTAATCATTCAACATCTCTCAGTGTAAGGACCACAGATTTCCAAGCCCAAATGACTGATTTACACATATATAAGTTTACCTGATCTTTGGGTTTTAGAAAGACACTGTGAAACTGTTTATGTCTCTTTTTTATCAAAAACATAACCAGCTCCTTCCCTCTAGCATCATGTGAATGACTTGCTTTCAGTAGATTCATTAATTCTATATTGTCTGGATAAGCAACCTTCAGTTCAAAAAAATATCACTAAATGCTTGATTTAGCCATTCACTACTTGTTCCTACTGTTGAGTAGTTGATTGCTTAACAGTTCTGCTTCTGCTCTATTATTGAATTATCAATCCTGCAGACTGGAAAACAGTCAATACTACACAACAACATAGTTTAGATCTGGAGGAAACCATAATGATCATATAAACTTATTGTTGCCATAAAGACAATAGCATTTCCTGAATCAAATATATAACTTTTTAAGATTGGGAATAGCGTTAAAGCTAGGTTCAGGTGAACAGAGATCTGGTTATAATTCATGATACCTCCAAGACAAATGACCATGAGGCTACGAAGCTATTATGAGGAATATTTCTAAATGTAAAGCTTTTATATAATTTTATTCTTAAGCATGTACACGTTCTTCATATGATGGCTGATGGTCACTGACCTTCCAAATCTTTGTATTGTCTGAGCATGATGCATAATTTCCACTTGTTCCCTCTACTGAGGGAACCACTGGGACAGGCTTGCTAATGAATACTAAGTGCTCACTGCTGGTCTCACATTGACTTTTCTCCATTAGAACTCAGAGATCTCTTGTAGTCTTTACCTCTGATAGTCACTGCTCTCATTAGACAACCAGACCATACATGTACAAATCAGTGTTTGTAGAACCTTCTGTACTTAAACATAGAATATATTTTACTGGAGTTTTAAAACAACAGGCATGTTATAGAAGTCTTACCTTTTCACAAACTCTTCAAAGAGGATGCGATGAGAATACCCTTTTTGACGTATTTTGACAGTTTCCAGAATTCCAGTATATCGTAGCTGCAGCAGAACTCTCTCATGAGAAAATGTCAGTGCTTCTCGATCATCGTTAGGTTTAATGCAGCGGATAAAGTGAGGCTGTCCAACAACCATTTTGGATAAAAGATCCATGAGGGAATACTAGTGAGGAAATTAAAAAAGATGTGCACACTTGACAAAAAAACCGCAATGCAACTACTTAAGCAGGAGATATGTATTTGTAAATAATATGCAATGCATTATTATATTTTAATCTGGAATGGTAACCTGCATTGATATTTCATTAATTTTTATGCTTTTGGCTAAAATTGTAAAAAAATATATTCTAGTTCTTATTTCTTACTTCTTACACGTTCCTCTTCATCTGTCCTCACACCACATTTCTGTAGTTGAAGAAGGCCCATATTTTAAAAAAAAAAAAAAATTGAAAAATGTCCTAACTATAATTCTACTGTAGGCACATTTGACCAACCAGCATCTCCAACAGAAGAACAAGCTTTACTCTGAAACAATCAATCACAGAAATTCGCAGAAAAACATAGGGAAAGGGCTGCAAGAAGTCGTCAGTTCAGTCCTCTGCCCAAAGAGAACATTAGATGTCTCTGTAGCATTTCAGGCACATCTCTGTTTAATCCATTTTTCAGAATCACTGGGGATATAGACTGCAAAATCTCCTGGGACACTCTACTGAAGTGCTACATTATCATGACTATTCATATTGTTCTTAACATCTAACCTAAATCTTCCTGC